CCCCCCCCCCCTGTCTGCCGGACCTTAATCCGCGCCTGGGTTGCATACTCGCACGGGGCCATAAGGCGCCGCGGTGTGCGACGGTGGACAAGCCCGCCTGCACGCGGTACAGTATAAGCAAAATAAAGGAAGGGGTCTCTGGACCACCCTGTACTGTACCGTATGCAGGCGTGCGGACGGGCTGCATACTGGCACGGGGCCACGGGGAAAAAACGCCGCAGTGGGAGTCGGTAGGCAATCCCGCCCGGTCTGCATGGGGTACAGTATAAGCAGAAAAGGAGTCCGTCTTCGAGCACCCGCCATGTACCTTACCAACCTCCACTCTCCCCTCCAATTAGGCAAATGGCGTGACACTCTACCACTTTGCCAATGAATGGATAGCAAAAAGTTTGATATTGAATCATCTGAATCATTCAATATATCCCCCAGCTAAGAAAGGTTGATGGTGATAGGTTTATATTATCAATATTTTTCATGTGTGTTACCTGTTGCGGAAACGTATCAAGCCTTTTTTCGAGGGTATGTAATGACGTCTTTCGTCTAAAATTATCTTTCACATTACTGTCGAGCAGGGTCGGTCCCAGAGCATAGATGACCAATCCGGGATAGCTGCTTCCGGCATTCTGCCCCGTCCCCTCCGCCCCGGAGGCGCCGGAGGGCGCAATGTTCAAGCGTGGCGATCACAGAGACAAGGCTGTTTTCCTAGCGCATCCGCGGCCGGCCCCGCCCCTTCCACCCCCACCCGATTGGAAATTGCCACCACCGTAGCAGCGGTCCACTCTACAGGCAAGCATTCGACTTGCTCGCAACTGCCGTGCCTCGTCGGTTCAGCCAGGAGCGGCCAGAAGACTTTAAAATGCCCTGTGATAACGTGTTCGCTAGGTGTCAGGTGTCACGTGTAATTCAGATCCCACAGCGTTAGCCGTTTAATTGAATCCTGATCATGAGGGGAGCAAACTGATCAGTTATTTGGGTTGTTTGCCAGGTCTCGGAAGACATAACTTATCAGGTGGTAGGGAAGACCAATCATAGTAAATTAATTCTTGGTCTCAAAGGCACAGGTATTTATTATCAAATGTTTATAAAAACACAAAAGACAGGTACAGACGCTGCTCTTGACAGCTTTGAAGTAATTAGAAATGGGGTGAAAGACTGCTTAAGGTTTAAAGTTTAAAAATGTAATACTATCAATAGAAGGAGCCAAATAACATATATACTTAAGGACAGCATGCTTCAGAGCTATAAACTATTCCACATTAAAACTAACAGAATTACCCATAATAATTTCTATTGAATGGAAAGAAAGAACATAAAAAATATATATGTAAAATGTTTGGTTTGAATGACATGGTCAGATTACAGAAGTAATTCTTCAATCAAACGTTCAATTTTGACTTAGGTAAGAGGTGGCACCATGGGCTGTCTAATTTCAAAGACCTTGACTAGAGTCTGAAAACAAATTCAACAAAATAGTAGAAATGTGTACATGAAATCAAAATAAATAGATAGAAAGTAAATTATTACCTGCCACATTTCTGGACTAATTGAAGCAATGCATTGTAACTTTTTGCCTTTCAGCAATTCACCAACTTCTGCTGCAGATATTTTATGAATGTATGGTAGACCATTACCATTCTCTGTAAAAAGATAAAATTATTAGACACATCCTAAAATTTTGTTTTTATTTAAAATGTAATTTATGTATAAATTACTGCTCACCTTGTCTAATGGCACAAAAATTATTTTTCATTAGAAATGACAAATGGAAAATGTTTTCCACAGTGCGGTGGAATGATGTTGGATCTAGCACACATTCAAAGAAACTGATAGGCTGGTCACCATTTTCTCTAAATTTCCTCTTCAGCACTTTCTTGAGATGTTGAACAGCTTTATCGTTTCCTTCATCTGCAGCCGCAACATTTGTCACCTGAGAGATACCCACAAAATGAAACGTCTATTACTTTTCATTTCCTTATTTGAATACGTTCATAGAAAATGATCATCTGACCTTTTCAGGCTGCTTCTCGGCTGCTGCCCTGGCAGCTTGTTTCCTTGGAGCTCTTTCTTTTGGTTCTTTTCTAGGCAGCTCTTCAGCTTTAAAAGATCCATATAAGTAGGACACCCCAGGTGCTCTGTGGAATAATTTTTGTACTTTTGGGAACATCAGGTTCCAGTCAAGTTTCTCTTGTTCTCTATCAGTTGCCAAATTCAACTACAAAAAAATGTCTTATTAAAACAAGTAGTGGAAAATAACCTGATGTGGTACAAAAGCTACTTACAATACCATCAGCAAATGTGTTGACATCAAATGATGCCAAGTTCGTATCTAATGCCTGAGCTTGGTTCCTTGAAAGCTGGGCGCAAATAGATAATACATGACTACCATAAAGGGATTCTCGAACTTTTTTCTCTGAAAATACAGAAATGGTTCAGTCTTCTTTCATAAATGAAAAAGTACAAACATAACAACTATAAGCAATCATAGAATTACCTTTCTGACAAAGTGTAGCATTCTTTTTGAGCAGCTGGCCGACTCGATTTACTGCTTCAGTTGATGTTGCTCCCTCCTCTGCAACATGAACATGTCTTCAGAATTGATACGGGAAAATGCAAGAAAAAAAATAAAGAAGGGGGATAAATGGTGGTAACTTGGTTGTTTAACGGGGGAGTAATTCCTCAGGCTGAGACAGTTTAAAAAACAAAACTTAAAGATCTAAAAAAAGTCAGCGTCGACAACAGCGAATCATTTAAAGTATTCCGTTCGAAACAAGTAAATTTTAAAGGGCAAGATAGAAATGAAATTATAGATAATGAGATTATTACGCTTGATGTTATGGTTTGTAAATAAACTTAACCTCACTTACGTAGCATTCTCTGTACTTCCTCATAATCTTGGGCATATATGTCAGTCAAGTTTCCATTGGGAGGATCATCGCCATTGCTGCTGTAACCCTGCGTGTCTTGAGTATTATCGAATCTGCCATCATTATCAGAGTCGGAGTCAGTCATTTTGCTTCAGTTCAGAGTTCGGGCCTGCTGACTGCTAATGTTTATCTCAGGTCAGCAATCGAACAGCTCAGATATTGAGTGACAGTCTTCTCTCAACTTTTACACTGTTTTCAAAAACTTGCAACGCACAACACTTATCACGATACGCGCAATTCGAAAACCTTACTTCAACGCAACGCTAACAATTACACAAACTCTACCTATCGACAAGTTGAGACAAGTTCTCTCAACTCAGCTCAGCTCAGCGCGGGAGAATCGTACTCCCCCCTCCCCCCAACTTCAGCTTGAGGATGATGAGAAATTTACGAGAGGTTGACGAGTCATTCCCTATGCCACAACTTTAACATGTAAACCGGTGAAACTTAATCCCTACGCCGTGAGAACGGGACGGGCGGGCGTATAGGAGATTTGATAGCGAAATATTAATTACTATAAATTCACACTTATAAGAAGCTTTTAATTCTGCTGCTACATTTTTGGTCATACAAGGATTGTAAACTCAACGGTGGGCCGCTAGCATAAAAATACTCAAATTATAGTATTATGTACAATTTGAGCAAGTAATGGCATGTAATTTGTGATTAGGTATATATGGAGACAGAGGAAAAGAAAAATGTAGTTAAGGACTATACTACAGTAGGGTTAAAAATGTTTTAACATGCGCACATGCGCATAAGTACAGACAGCAGTCAACTTGAAGTCAATCTATTAAATTAAGAGTGAGGACTGTACTTGTTACATCTGAATTCAGATTGATTCTTTTAGATATATACCCATTCAGACTCAAGAATGCAAAAAAACAAATTACATGGTGCCTAACATCATTCACAGAGGACGGCTCATTTCATAAAGTTATGTAGCCTTGAAATACAAAAAAAACAGGCATGGACATTGTAATTACAAATTGCAATATATTTTAGTATTAAAAAAAAAAAACACGCATTTCTGTCAGAGAAGAAAAGGATAGTGTGAGATTACCTAGGATAATGGCAATCCTATTGGTATATTTATACCTGTACTTATAGGTATAAGATTGTCATTGTCATTAAACAAAAGTACACTACAAAAAAAAAACTAACAAAAATATAATATCACACAACTTTCCTAAGAAAGAACCAATATGTAAAAAAAAATTCACAGCACTGTTTTGAAAGTACAATAGGAAAGCTACATTTATATCAACAAAAATAGATAAGTCTTATTAAAAGATATGAAGTAGCACACAAAAATAAGTAAGATAAGCTGACTTAGACTACATACATCTGGTGGCAATCAAATATCAAATACCAGGGATAAGTCAAAAATATACATGTTTGATGCTGACCGTCAGCCACAACCCACTTGTTTTACTTCACATCTCAGTAAACCTAATATAAATCACATATCATATGCCTTTGGTTGTTAAAAAGAAAAGTTAAATATCATTTACTTAAGCTTGGATTTAAATATACTTTCAATTTTAGAACAAGTCTCCATCAAATGTTTAGCAAGTGCAATCACAGCTTCTCTCTTGTCCTCTGGTACAGGTGCCACTCGTAAGGATAAAGCATACATAGATTTGTATGTTGATTCCTGGGCCGTTGATCTAAGAAAAGATCCAATTTGATTGGTTATTTTTTTTTCAAAGTTAGTTCAATTACAGAAAACTGTTACCTATTTGAAACTTACTCTTTTTTTGTACATTGTGATGACAGCTTTGTGGCCAATAGAAGATTTCTTTGCATACGTTGCTCAAATAGTTTTAAGAGTCCTAGATCTCTTTCATCTTCATCAACTTCTGACTTTTCTTTTGATAGAGTAGGTGCATCTGAAAGTAGAATGAAGTAATTGGATATTCTTTCAAAACCAAGTTAAACATGTGTTTGCATATTATGTAAAGAAAGGTTTGAACAGTAGTCTTTGACATTACAAGATATGAATGGATTATTAATAACACACCTCCTGCTGCCTTTTGAGGATCTGTTCTATCTGTAAAACCCGAGAGCTTTGGAACAGAAGCGAAGATCATTTCTAAAACTTCCTTAGTATACCGCAATTTGGCGCTTGGTGTAGAATTATCTGTAACACAAGAAATCCATGAAGTTAGCATTTTTACAACTGAGATTTTTGTTTACAAACTGAAGATATATTATATTTTCTTACTTATGGCAATAAATTCTGTAAGAGCCATTTTCTCCAGCAATACACTGAGATATTCATGATAATGCTCTATCATAATATAGATATCACATGCTTTGTCATAGTGCAGTCGACTGGATTGCAAAGCAGCTCGAGCATGCCGTTCATCCTTCTCAAACGAAGCTCTGATAAAATATAAAAGAAAAAAATGGTTATCATAAGGTACTAAGAAGAAAAGTGAAAAAATTGGAGAAAATGGAAAGTCAGCAAACCTGTATGAGTTGTGATGCAATGAAGCCAAACGATGGTGAAGAACAGCAGCCCTAAACTGATACACAGGAAGTCTCATTCCTGGAGTTTCCAAATCACAGTATTTTAGGGCACGATGAACATAATCTATGGCCATTCTCACAGCATCATCTGCTGTCTAAGAGGGGGAAAAAATGAGCATGATCAATCACACAAACCACACAATCACACAAAATTATAATGAGATTAGACTCTCACTTTGACATGTGGAGCTGGTGACTCAACCGCAAGAATAGCCATATTATACAAAGCTGTTGACAGCTCCCACAACACAGCATCCCATATATCCTCATGACCTTTTCTTTGACCTAGGTTTGCAAGTGCTTGTTGATAATTTGTGAGTGACTGTAGATTAAAAACATTACAGAATAAGAGAATTAAAAATTGATGAATTTATGGTCAAATATCTGTCTTAAAACACAAAACAAACAAAAAAAAACAAAAACAACCACTTACTCTGTTATAAAATGAGCGCTCATGGAAAAAGTGCTCTTTTGGGTCAGCCCCTGCAGGTGCATAGAAGTGGGCACACAATCTTAGCAATCTTCCAGTGTTGGAGTATAGGAGAGCAAGATTGGCCTTGTCATTGACAGTCTCAAAAGATCGTAGTCCAGCTTCTAAATGAGACAAGGACAAGTCAAATTTGGCACGAAAACTTGTCTTAAGGATTGGATCCATTCTGTCATAGGTAAGGTTCATCCTTTTGACCGCGTCATCATATCTAACTGTAAAATGAAAATAGAAAGACATATTTAGAGGACATGTATTTAAATTGTGTGTGTGTGTGTGGGTGGGAGCTAGTGGAGGCGCCACTTCGAGTATTTACCTTGAGCTTGACTCATGTACAGGCATCCTAACTCGTTGTGCACATTACCAATCCTGCGATGAAAGTTAAGGAGTTCTGGACTAAGAGCAAGACCTCGCTCATAGCAAGCTAGTCCGGTCTTGAGCATCTGCTCCATCGTCTCAAGTTTTTCAGGCAACAAACTCAGCTCAGCACTGTCGAGTTCCGGACAATCACGGAACATTTCGTGCTCTATTTCGGCATCAACTCCCGTATTGGACACGAGATCCCGACGATGGAGCTCGATTTGGGGCCAATCCTGGACCATCATGAAACAACAGTCACCAGCACGACCTAGCAGGTAACTCTCCAGACCTCCTCGCTGGGCGCGATTTGGGTTTGAGGGCCTAAGAAGACGATCCAAGGCCTCGCGACATCGCAGGACTCGTCCCACCATTTGCACAGCCCGTCCATACCTAGACAGAATTGAGCAATAGGTTGTAGTCAATGATTTATGAACTCTATGAGTGCCTTAAGTTTGTTGAGTATAAAATTACTGTATTATAAATTCTTTTTTAAATGTGTTAATTGAAATTGCTGTCAGCCAATGTTCCTCTTTCAACCAACCTCTCTGAAGCGTATGCATGTTCTGCAAGAGTGGCATACACTAAACAAGCTTTCTCATACAATAGAGTTTTAAGATGAGCATTCCATGACACATTATCATTGGCATCAGGAGTCTGCCAAGTTGGCATGCAGCCTGCTGGCATTGGACACAGTAATTTCTGTAAACATTAAGTTTTACAGATAAAAATTTGGGAAGGAAAATAAAAAATTAACAATTTGGTAGAATTCTCTTAAAGGGTTTAGATACCTTAATACCATCTGCACCATTTTTGGAATTTTTCTCATCACTGGTGCCCTTGTTGGCATGTTTACTCTTACTTTTTTTCCCCTTGGACTGTTTTTCAGAGTCTTCCTTCTTGTCACTTTTTTTCAATGGGACATAGGGCATTGGAATTGGTTCAAAAGGTTTAGCCATTTGAGGGGCCTCCTCTTCCTCGTGTCTTTGTGGTTCATTACCTGATTCTTCCTATAAAGAATACAAATGATAAAATCAGTTTTAAACTCAAATTAATGGGCAAACTAAGGAAAGATAAGATTAAGAACGAACATCTTCTGACTGCCCAAAATACAGAAGACACTGAAGTCCAATGGCTATGTGCTTCAGTGCTAGCATGCAACGCTCAGGCACACTTGAGGCAAGCGGGGGTGGCTTGGGAAATTTGGCAGCTTCATCATCTACAAGCAAGGAAATTGGAAATTTTAGATTAGGATTAAAGTACATCATAGATATTAACAAAGGAAAACTAGAGGGGGGGGAAAGAAGAAAAGTCAATACCATCAATTTCATTTTTGGGGTCGATATCACTGTTCAAAAGGTTTAAAGACATTACTGTTGTTAGAGAATTTCTGGGATAGTCTTTAAAAACTTTTCCTTTCTCATACTCCTTTTCATCATTTATATCTTCAGTTTCAGAGTCAGATGAATGAATGAGGGAGCTATGCCGAGTCTTTTTCCGAGTGCTAAACATAAAAGAGGAAGAAATAAATAAAAGAGCATTCTATTAGATTACAGCTGTACATAAAAATAGTGTTTTTTCTGTATCATCATGTATACCTTACCTCTTCGTTTCAGTCGCATCTTTCTTTTTATATAAAGATTTGGTAGAAGTATTATTTAAATTTTCATTACCCTCTTGTTTTTCTTCATCATCTAACTCATCATCAAATAGTGGTTTGGCTGGATCTATAGTAGCTGGTATAAACAGGTCTGATAACATATAATGAGCTGATGTGACAATCTGAAACAAATTGAGTTGATACAAAATCAGATGTGGATTATAGTCCATAATCCACATCTGATTTTGATTATGGTAAACCTTTTAGTGAAAATGTTAAGTGTGTTTACCTGAGGATACTTTTGAGCATCAAGTAAACGAACACAGTTGTCTAATAGAACAGCTATTGTACTTCTCTTGTACTGTCCTTCAACTGAGTGCTTCATATTACGGGCAACTCTATATAGAAGCATAGCAACGGGTACAGTGAACGGATTCTGACCCTTCTCATCAACATTTTCCGAGCATAAAGATGTCAGATCATACAATTTCACAAAATCATCATCTTTTCCTAAAACAGTAAATTCAAAATTTAACATTTTAATCAATAGTTTTCATTAGGTTACATTCAACAGTTCAAAATGCAATACAAAATGAGATTAAAATTCAAACAATACCTTTGAACAACCAGTAGGTGTGCCCTGCTTTGGCAGCATTGGTCTTTAAAAAAGATAAAATATTTTGAGCAACATCTCGTATAACTTTAGGTGAAAACTTTGACTCATTAAAATATGGCAGATCTTCGGTTTTAACTAATTCATATCGTTTAACAATCCCATCTAGATGAAAACACATAACTACTTCTGGGACATTGCTCATTAAGTTGTCCAACCAATAGTCAATTCCTGTTAGTACACTGATGGGTTTCGCCATATCACTGCATTATAAATGGGATTAATTAATAAATGTGACGATGGCGCTCAAATGTCAAGCAAAAAAATCAATCAAAATACAAATGCTTCATTACCATAAGCGTAAACTAATACAAGGGTGAGCAGGTCCACCAAATATTGGCATGTCAGTTCCAAGTAGCATTTGCAAGTCTTCGAAATTCCATACAACATTTCTTAGAAATTTGTGATCCTTTGATCCTGAGCCAGGAAGCTCTTCTGTGGCTTTAGGCTCAGGCAGAGGTGGTTCTGAAGCCTGAAATGGTTGAAAAAATGGTATTTAAGAGAATTTTTTTTAAAGTATATTTTTTTTTGTTGGTTTGTTTAACACTTACAGAAACGGAAAAGTGGGAGGCTGGTTGCAATAGTGGTGGAGGTGGTGGAGGGTTTGTAGCAGCAAGACTATGATGCAAGAATTTACTGACAAGGTGTTTACTCTGAAGAGCTGATCTCCGATGATGACTTGGAACCAAACCTTTATCCTGTGCAACAAGAAAACAAAAACAAAGAGGAAATGAAAAGCACGAGATTCTGTTCAAAGGACTGCAATTTATACATAAAAAAAAAAAATCATACCTTGATGCTCATACTCTGGAAAACATGGTTGAGCAAAAATTCACGAAGCCATTCCCAGTCTGATTTTGACTGTTGCAGTAATAATTTATGGACATCGAAGTCATCAATTAAAAGTGTATTATCAACTCTATGCACTATCATGCTGACCTGAAAAACCAGATTACTTGTTAAGAGTTTTAGTAAATTCAAGATCTTAAAAAAACTTGATGACTGTTCTCAACTCCCTGTTTCAACAAAATGTGTGATCAGAGCTGACTATTTATTTTATACTCACTGCACCACGGCTGTATGGAATTTTTAGAAGTTTCTTAATATTTTCAGCGTCCGATACTATATCAACTTGACCCACCACACAATCTGGAAACATGTGGGCTAAACGAAAGCTGCAAGTAAAAATATATTTAGATTAAAGACAAAGATTTGTTACAATATTTCTGACACACTTAGAATGTACGGTTGAAGTAAAACAATAAAACTGGGATGTGTAGCACCTCGAAAAACCTGTCGAATGTGTTGGGACATGTTGCAGGCCATATGATTCAGCTGAGCTAGTCAACCAGTTTGATGGGGGTAAATTTAAATCAGTGTTGCACTGTAGTCTTGCAAAGGAGGCAGCTCGCTGCACGGCCGAGTACTTCACCACTGCTGTTGACTTGACCGGAGATTCGTTAGCAGAAGGTATGAGCTGCCAATTCCTCATATCAGTCAATGGGAACTGGAGCAGAGAGAGACATCCATAGTTAAGGAACATCATTAAAAACAAACTTATTGAAACCGGCGGAAAAGAAAAAGTAGGATCGACACAAAAATATAAATCTTCTACAACTATTCAAAACAAATCATCCATGACAAGTATAACCAACAAAATTTTGTATCCCACACCTCTGCATCCCGCGGCTTTGGGTTGTCATTATTGCCGCTTGCCTCCTCCATTGCTTTCTTAAAGAAGCGAGTAAATTTCTTGCTGAGTTCGGCTTGAATATAAGTTTATCCACCTGATGTGAGTAACCACAACAAACAATTACAAGAAAAGTAACCTCAGAGTCAGAGTAGTGTACGTAAACTTGTAAATCTCCGAAAGTTCATCTACAAGGCAAAGTGCAGCTTATCCAACAACGCATCCCAAACAACAAGAGAAGGTAAATAATATTCCGAAAGAAATCTTTTACAACATTACAAATATGTAAAAACAAAGATAAGATTTCAATTATAAAATAATTTTACTTTTTATAAAACTTTTTGAAATGCGTGCAGAAAACCTTGATTGTGAATTTGTGTGTTGGCAATAAACTTTAAAGAAGGGAAGGGGAGGAGTTCGGGATCAGAAAGCAGACGAAACGGAGCAGAAGACGAAGGCCCAAGTTGATTCGTTGATTGCTTATTCCTGCATTTATTTATAGGTTTCCGATCTTACTTCGAAGTTAACACGATAAGTAATGACTGAAAGTCAATCTGATCAAGGTACTCTATCCCTACGAAATAAATCTCTCATCAAACGAAACATGAATCGGAATCACAGCAATAATATGAGGTAGGCTTTCTTTAGAATTGTGTGTTTGTTTATGCACTTAAGTTTACAAATAACTCAGTTAGTAAATCGAAGGGTGAAAATAAAATTGAACTTGAATAGTAAGTGCTGCTGATTTCTTTCCAGGGCAGGATATGTAGCAGTGAATGAGCAATACCTTCACAAGACAGGTCTTCGGGGTAGAAAGACTTATGCCTTTTGGACACTCATAATGTTGCTCTTCTTCATGGCGATTGGAAATCTCATGTTAACTTTCACCATTCTTGGTGTTCTACGCCTTGGCCAAGGTGATACAATCCTTTTCTAAACTACCATTTTGCGACATTTTTCTTTCTCTCACGTTTTTTTTAAATTATTTAAAATAAAGAAAAATCCGTAATAGATTTTTCCTTTACAGGAATGGAAAGTCTAGAATTAGTACCAGAGGCATCTCTTATTAAGTTCTTTGGTGCTATTGACCTCGATAAAATTTACAAACGTGATGGAAAACTGGAGGGCTTTCATGATGCACCTTTAGAACTCACCGGAAACAATGGCTCAGTAATTGTTAAGCTTGTAGAAACAGGTGAGGCCAATCAACCCAAGCTGGTTAGCAATCAAGGGGGCACAACCATCCAAGGCATAAAGTCATTTGACATTCATGATCCTAAAACTGGGCAAACTATCTTTTCGACTGATTTTCCTAATTTTGGTCTGCCTCAAGGGGTTGAGAAGCTAGACATTAAACTTGCCCGTACTCACCGCATTGTAAGTCCAATTGATAAGGATCTGACTTTAAGTGCTGAATCATACGTGCGCATAAAAGGCATTGAAGGGACACACATGGATGGGAAACAGATTCTGTGGAAGGCGGACCAAGACATTTTTTTAAAGAGTGTGAATGGATCTGTGATTCTGGATGCTCCTAAAGGTATATTTTTGGACGTTAAGAATATGCCAATAGCCACTTCTGAAAGCAACAAACCAGGAAAACCAGTGACTCTCCAGTACAAAGTTTGTGTTTGTGTGCCCAATGGGAAAGTTTTTAGGGTCCCAGTGGTGCAAGGGCTGTCACATAAGAACAGTGGCTGCAATTACTACTCATCTGAAATTGATCCTTGTATGTAAAAGATACAAGAAAAAGTAATAATTGTTTCCAAAGAAAAGAATATTGCCACAATGACATCATTATTTCAACTTTTCATGGTCACAGATGAAAAATTAGGTGAAAACGATTAGAACAACCTTGTCTATTTCTCATTTAAGGGAAAATCACTTACAGCTTTATGAGTTAATGTGAATATCTAGTATTTTATGCACTTTGTTACTCAAATGTTATGTTACCATTAGTGTATCTCATATTTATTTCCTTAATCTTCTTTTAATGTCTACTTACAGTAGACGGTATATGTTGAAATTGAGAAGTGCATACTGTATATCAGTATCTCGTATTAACACTCATCTAGTCAAACATATCTCACATGACTTAAACTTAATGAAACTGTTTCACTTTGATCTACATAGGTTAATTTTTGTTATTATTATTACTAAACTCCTTGAAGTAAATCAAAGAATTGCTTCATGTTGCCAAACTAGAGTAGAGTTAGACAGTACTTTTGTGCAAGTCAATTGTTTTATCTTGGTAAATGATAGGAATATAACTTTGTAGTTGGTTGCAAATAATAATTTCTACAGTAGTTGAATTAGATTGGAGATAATATAAAAGCAATAAAGATAAGAAAAACTCATTATTGTTATAATGTATTTCCACCTCAGCTGAAAGTGATAACACAATTGAAAATGAATAATGTTAAATAAAACTAAAATTTTAAAAATATTTTTATACAAATTTGAACATTAAATTTGACTTCTCCACTAGCCTTCATTGACACCTGGTTGTCAACAAAATGATAGATAAAAAAAAGTAAAAGTCCACGCCAGCTAAAAATGATTTTAAGAACACATACACACAAGTTCCTATTATGCGGTACAGGTATATACAGGATTAAACAAAAACTTATCACTGGACAACAACACCAAATCTGAACTGATTAACAAGAATTAGTAATAAAGCCAGTCATGACTTACTGGCAAAGGTAAAGGCTTTTAGTTTTCCAATTCCACTTTTCTTTTTTTCTGGGGATGGAGGTTTTTCGTTTATACAACTCTCCGACTCTTGGTATGTGTCCATTTCCTCTGAAGCAGCAGCTAACAGTGCGGCACTTTCATCATCGTCACAATCTGTTGTCATTGGTTCATCACTAGGGAGGGGGGTTGTAACATCACTTTCCCTTTTTAGCTTCTTAGTTTCTGGAGCACTAATTTCTTCTTCTGGAGATTCAGCTTCTTTCAAACCCTGATTGGAAAAAAAATAAAACAGTTATTGGGGAGCTCACTATAATGCAATGCTCTGAAAAGATATTGATAACACAAACCTCTTTGTATTCCTTATATCGTTTCATGCCAATTTTGGTAATTTCTGCTGGGTCAACATCTGGGAACTCCTCTTGAAGTTCTGACTTTATTTTGTTGAACCATGCCACGAAAGGTATAGGTTTCTTTTTAGGATCACTGTCACACTTCTTAGCATCACTTGAATTTGATGTAACTCTTGTCCCAAACAAAGTCATTTGCTTGGACTGTGGCTGCAGAAAAAAGTCCAAGATGTAGACTTAGATTTTAAAAATTTGGCTTTTCTGTGAAAGTGATATTTTTGCACTTTACCTTGGAAACTTTAGGAGCTCCAGTGTTTCCTTTACTAATGGTACCAGAACTTTTCTTCTTCATTTCTTGAGGGCTGCTATATGGAGAACTAAGACGATCAAGCCCCTTTGCTTCATTTGACATTACTGGTGCCTTTTTGAATGGATTTAGTCTTTTCTGTGACTGAAGCAAAACAGCAGGCTTGATTTCAACAGTATCAGCCTCTAGAGCTGCACGTTTTCTTTTAGCAGCGAGCAAAAGATTTTCCCTCTCCAATTCATTTTCTTTATCTGAAAAAGGACATATTTAAAAATAGGCACACTTTCATTCAAGTTGAATACCAAAAATTTTAAGTATAAAGGTGGTTAATATACCTGCTCCAAATCCATTAGCTGTATCATCATAATTTCCATTGTTCAAATCATCTCCTGATGCCCTAAAAGATAATTTATTTTAAGAATAAGTTTATGGTAATTTTAGACATATTGCAAAAGTTTTTTACACTCACCTCATTCCTTGGGATTGTGATTGAGAGGCAAAGAGGTCTGGCGATCGTGATCGAACTGAAAACACCTTTGATTCTTCACGATCACGTTTGTTTGACACTATTGTCGATACTCTCTCAGCTAATAGAGACTTTCCCACTTTCATAGCATATTTTGCAGCTAATTCAGCAACTTGGGCAGATGGCATGAGGTGGCAAAGTTCCACTGCCCTCATTTCTAGGCCCCCTCTTGTAGACAACTGCATAATAAATTTAAGGAATTGTGAGTCCCTATTCAATGCAGAAACTGTATAAGACAGGATATTCCAAAACTCACAGCAAATAGTTTGATGAGTGATTCCTTGATATTTTTTTCAGCTTCAGTACGATATTTCTCAGCAAGTAATAAATCCTCATCATTGGTGCTAGTATCTAGGATAGCTTTCATGGTTGTCAGCATTAATTGTGAACGCCACAAAGTCTCTTCAATTTTGCTCTTCTCAGTCTCCATTTCACAAAATGGAAGCTATAGAAATTTAAGAAGAAAATAATAGTAATTAAAGGGTATATTTAAATTAAGAGGTAAAAATATATCAATATGCTATCTTACTTGGAAGGGCAATTCTGATACTATAGGCAAAGGAGTTGTTGGAGGATAATATGCCCCTCTACATAAAACTGCCCGTATATTTTGATATTGTTCACTGACTCCTACAATGAAGAAGTGGTCGGACTGCCCTTTTGCCTGAGGTATACAATTTCAGATTAGTTTTTAAAAACTCACAAGAGAAAAGAAAAAAAAAAAAACACAACCTTCAATAGCATCTTACATGTTCTTTAGTATCGCAGATAGGCATCCAACAGTGTGAACGTGCTGGGAGAAAACGGAGAACATCTTCTGAATCCAAAGTGCAAGGAGAACATTCATCGGTAAAACCAGCCCATTTGAGGGTAGCCCCTGGTGACAGTGGAAGTGGTTGTGTAGGGCCACAATACACACCACCTTCGGGAGATATGGTCATCACCTGGTACCACATGTTTTGTTCATCGGGTAGACCTGCATCACAATATGACAACATGCAGAAATTACTAGAGTGTGGAAAAAAGGTGCAAGTTAAACTAATAGAAATGTTCCTCACCAACACCACAATGGAAGATCACAAGAAGCTTGTCTTTGTAGCCTGCAAGACAAACAAGTTTTCCAGGTGTGGCTAAAACCTGGCGCTGAGTACCTGCCAGGCAAAATATACGCAAGTTGAAGTTATCTGTTGCTACTGCTAGCCAGCTATTCCCCACTGCCACAGCAACCGCGGATTCGCCATTAGGAAGAGATGTCATCCATTCTTGTGTGCCATCCCATGCATTTAATACAACACAAACAACCTTGCTAAAAATGAAAGAGGAGAAAGATAGACAAAGTTTAACTAATAATAGAACATTGATTGTTTTCAGCTTGAAAATCAGACAAAGTACCTTTGAGTGTCATCGTTTGCAGAACAGGCCAGCGCAACAGCCTGAGTGCTCATAGACGCTATAGAGTGACCAAGGATATTGTTCATATGAATAGAATGGTGCACAGCAGTGTCATGAAATCTTATGTCAATGGAGTTTTCTTCATGGTTGTTAATGCAGCGAATAATACCAACATTATTCCAGACCTAAAATAAAGTTTCGGTTAGTCCTTTGGTAATAGACATACATATAATACAGGATGGATAAGAAAATTTGTTTTAAGATAAAGCTACCATAAATCGATGTTGCAGGGAATCGGGAGTAGATGATGGCTGAAAAGTTGGTTGAGTATTTAGCTTCAGGCCAACCCGTGTGCTTCCACTGGCAACACTATGAGCGTCATCAGGTGCTAAGAGTAGGACAGATACAGAGTATTAGATATCACTATTATAGAACTAAATTGTATTTGGATTATTTCTTTTCATCTACTAAGTATTTTTATATTTTAAAGTAATAGATAAATTAATTAACACGTTGAGTCCCACGTGACCACATGTATGGTCACAATAACACATAATTCCGACCCACCCTGGGACTCAACGTGTTAAGTACTAAAGACACTTTTGATTACCTTCACTTTCCTTGTCATCACCTAAATTCATAGAGAGTTGACTTTTAATCTTATCGATGGAGAAAGCATTTTCATTATCATCATCATCATCATCAAAGCCAAGCCCTTCCAAGTCTTTTAAAGCATTAATGTCATTTATATCACTTCCCTAAAAGTAAAAATAGAGTTTGGAGGATTAGATAAAAAAAATTTAGATATATGGAGAAGGCGGTAAAAAGCAAGCTGCTCACAGGCACTGAAGATGATTCAACTTCAGAACGAACTGGTTTGGGATCTGAGACACCAACTTTGGGCAGCAAGCTTTCAATGGTTCCCAACTGGCCCATGACATCACAGTAAGCTAATTCTGCAGGCACCTTGGGGTTCCATTCAAGACCACAAATTTTTTGCCCCCTCTCATGAGTAAAACTAGTGGTTGGAGAAAACTTGTTAACATCCCACACACATATCATACTGTGGGAGACTGCTGCTAAGTAATTGCCACATGGTGAAAAAGAAGTGATAGAGAACGGCTGCAAAAAAAAAAAGCAAGGGTAAAGAGATTGTTATTATTTCAATGTGTTACTAATTGAAAATGATAATTACATCAGTACAGCTGGTTGATGAAAGGGAGGCCACTTCAGACCAAGTTGATCTCTCATAAATTCGTATTTCTTTGTCATGAGGAACTGCTAAATACTGTCTCCCGCTTGGTTGCCAAGAGGCTCGTACTAGGAGAGGTGCAGTGAAAAAGTCATTAGCTTTGGGAACACAATCCCATTTTTGAACTGAGTCTCTCAGTTCTATATCCCAGACTTTGACAGTTCCGTCACAAGATGATGAGACCTACAATAAATTTGAACAAGATTAAAAAAAGATGCTGATGAAGAAGATTTTTTTTAATAGAAAATTATTACTAAGCATACCATGTACTCTTCTTTAGGATCTATTGATAGGCCTAAGATCGGAGCCGAATGGCCAACTAAAACAATATCTGGCTCGGAGTTCTTTAAATCTGATATGTGAATTTCTGTGTCACTAGCAAAACAAAGCAGAATTGTAAGTGGAAGATTGATTCAAAATAATTTAACATACTCTCAAGACATACTTACCATGATCCAGCAGCTAGAAATTTACCACTTGCACTGACAGCAATATCAGTAACTGGGGCAGTGAAGCGTGTTATCACCCCATCTCGCTTATATTCAGGAAATGTGTAAGCTTGAACCCAGTTGTCATCGGTACTGACAAACATTCGATCACCCTAGGTTGAAGAAAATTGAGGTTTTATGAACACTTTTTTAAAAAATTGGCACGAAAGAACAAGAGAATACAATACGATTGTTATCATTACATGTTGTACAACAGCATTTGCTTTCTCTTCGGCCACACAAAGGGTATGGTTATCATCGTCCTCAATTCCAGCCCAAATCCGTACTTCTCCATCATGCCCACAAGTAATAATGTATCTGTAAAAAAGACGGACGTTGGCTTTGTTGTCTACAAGTCACAGCCAAGTCTATTTTCATTTTTACGTTCTAATTACTTACTTGCCAGTGTCAGAATATGCTACGTCTGTGTGTCCTTCTGAGTGGGCATATCGTATAGGTTTCTGGATCGGGGACATTTTAGCACCTAATAGCGGATAGCAGCAGTAGTACTGGAGAGCTACCTTTTAATCAGAACAAACACAAACTAAAAATAACTTTCATGGCAACGAAACAAAATTTTTCCCCAAACTTTGATGTACTGCAGACCGCTAACTGCAGACGGTCTATTTCGCGCCTTAACCTATCGTTTTTCAACTCTTGGCCAAAGGCAAATATCAGAGAGGTCAAAACACAAAAATTGATAACACAAAAACAACAAAATATTTCTGGAAAGATATTCGTTAAAACTAAGTTGAAAATAACTGCACACTACAAAAAATGTTTTCGTTGAATGTCAACCGTACGATTTGTGAAACGAGACGATTAGGGTTAATTCATTTGAATGTTTGAGTTGGTACATGAAAAAAGGGGTCGGAGAGCGCGAAATTTGAAGAACGAAAACAGAAAATAATTGGGGCTACGCGATACGGAGATAGAAAACGAGGGTCGAAGAGATATTCTCTTCAATTTGATAGCACTAAACCAATTATCTTTCGAACATTAAAAAAAAATGGAACGAGAAGGCAAAGGAGGTATAATTGTAATAATGGTCATGTTTTATTGGATTTATTTGTGCTTCATTTGAGGTTCAGATACGGCAGTGAGGCTCAGGACACCCGACTGGCCGCAAATTTTTATGGGAACGTAACATCCAGGCGCCCGGCGGCGCCAGCGTATACTCACCGCCCCCAAGGCGCTCACAAGGCGGGCCGCGGGCTCCGCACAGCTGCTTGACGGGTTGGCCTACCCAGCGCGCTGCAGGCGCCATGGAGAGCACTGGCCCATACACATCCTTTCCCAGAAAACTTTCATCTATAGGCACAACAGCCGAGAGGGACTCGGAAGTGCATTTACCGAGAAATGCGTAACTGGGACTGGCTTCAACTCGGCTTTTATGCCTGCGACTCCTGGAGGGCCGGTCGTTGCGCGTTGCGCCCCTCAGTGTGTCCGACGTCCGACGGGGAGGTGCATGGTTCCTCTCCTTATCAGCTGGAGCAGGGCGAAGCGGGCCAGGCGGACCTCCTCAAGACGCTGCATTGGGGATATCTCCAAGACGTTGTCTGGGGAGGACTTGTGAGCGGCGCGGCGCGGCCCGCGAGTCTTATCGTGGGTAAAGTTGACCCGCAAGGAGTAGGGAAGCACCTGCTGCTCCCCAGGCTGCGTCCGCACGCCGCGCTCGTTCTGGCGCTGGCCCACCCACCGACTGCAGGGCTGCGCTGTCTCCGAGGTGGTTGGTTGGAGGGTCTCCTCCAAAGATTTGAGTGGGCGATTGTCTCCACCCCGGTCCACGACCCCGCTCACCGGTGAAGTGCGGAGAGGTCCATTTGATATCAAACTCAATTAATTAAAGTTGGTCCACAGGCGGCGCAGGACTGGTGTGCGCTCGCTGATCTTGGCGCGGCGGTGTCTCCCCTCTCTGTAGGGCTATGATGGAGCTGGAGGAGAGCGAAATCTGGAAGTGAAACGTTTCCGAGAAACGCGCGCGAGCCAGGATGGTGATGGGGACGTCCGTCGGGAGCGCATTCACCGCTGCCGTGTTCTCACGACGTTTGTTACACGCTTACCGACCGCTTTGCCGCCACAATGGCGATGCCGTCTCTCAGCGCGCCGCTCAAGGCTCGGGGAGGTCCTTGGAGCACCCTCCACAAGGACCATCGCTCGGCAAGGGACGGGCGGCGGCGGGCAGGGGAGCCAGGAGCCAGGCGGAGCCAGGGGACCAAACCTCAAGCGGTTTCCAATTGGAGTGATTGTTCACACTACAGCGCCTTCTTTGGCTAGAGGGGCTGATGCCATCTGATGCTTGCCCCTCGCAGGTGAGTTCACACGGGTGAATGAGGCCGTGGCAGCCTCGGGAGCGGGGCCCTGCGCCTTGCGGCTAAACTGACAGTTTGTTTTGGGACGACCTAGGAGTGCAACAGGGTGGAGTTCCGTAGTTGCTGATGATGGAAACTTCACTATCAGGATGAAGACGAGAAGCGGAGAATTGCCCAGGAACAGAACAAAGCGCCGTTTTGATATGTTCCTGGCCAATCTTCGAGCTCGATTTTTCTCTAAGATTTTTTTCTCCATGAGCCATCTTAACTATCTTTTTGGTTGAATTTAAAAAGAATATAAATGGTTGACGGCACTATTAGGGCGCTCGCTCGTCATCCATACATAATCATTAGATGTAGCCGTGATATGCGATCCCCCCGGCTCCCCCGGCAGCCCCCCGCCGGCCTCCTTTGCTCGCCGATGTTGTTTTCTGCTTCCCGATACCGTCGCTGTGTCGCCGTGCGCTCCCGGCCCGCGGGCTGGCGACCCCCACGGCGAGACTACTTGCTTTGTGCCGAGCCCGTGGGGCGGGCGCTACACACGTTACTCGACTAAATGAAGCGTGAAGTGTAGTGCCTGTTCCTGTTGGTGCCTTATCAGATATCGCAACCCACAATGTCACTATGCTCTGGCGTGGCGACGACGCTGGAGAGTGTGAGCGTTGGAGGGATGAAATCGCCCTGTCCGCTGGTTGCCCACTACTCGTTTGGTTCCCCAAAACCTCCAGTACTCCCTGCCTTTCTGTCCAAACAGCTCGCCTACCAATATGTGTATCGTGCAGCATCATTTCTCATAAAGGCGGCGCGCGTTTTTGTTATCTCGCATAATTCAGTGTGGCCAAACGATGGTCAAATTTGATATGTCGCCGTGTTTGCAGCAGATTAGAATAGAGGAGGTTTGTCGAGGGGGGATGGACGCGCACGTGCCCGACCTGGTCAGCTCAATCGCGCGTGACGCAGCGCACCGCAGCGCACGGGACGGGACAGTGGCTACTTGTTAGCGCTTTTGTCATCCCCGGGCCGGACAGACAATGCGGCGCACGATAGGCTACCCGCCAAGTAGCCAAAATAGCACCACAGTCTGCGGTCGGCTTGTTGCCGCAGAGGAACAAACACGGCATTAACAAAACCCCATCGAGTGTGAACAAAATACCTCCACGACAAACAAACAGCCCGCGGGGCCAACCTCCCCCCTCCCCCGGTCTTTTTCTCTCCGGCGCGGGTCTTTAGTCCGGGGTTGTGCCCTCGCAGCAATCACATTAAACTCGGGCCCCGAGAGAGGATAGCAAAAGGGGTGTGGGGAGAAGAAACGATAAAGAGACGAGAGGGGCTGTGT